GGAACCACTGAGCTAAATCCCTGGCCGAGACTATACTCTTAAGTGAATTAAATCAGACACACATATGTAAATATCACATTGTCTCTCTAATGTGAGAAACTGAAAGTGTAAATAAGGACCAAAATGTATAGTAGATATTGCAAAATAGGAAGAAATTGTTCAAAAAGAAAGAGGAAATATGGAGGGGGGAGGGGGAAAGAAGGAAGGGAAAAGAAAAAAATGAAAAAAGGATAAAAGGGAAACAAAGCTTTGTAAATAAGGAGCGTAAGTGTGGTTGAAGAGAAGAGAGGGGAATGGGAAAAAAAGAGATATCAAGATATAACATGTACAGGTACAAATTCCCTATGATGAATGTGATCATTATGTATATTTAAATTATACCAATAAACTTAATTTAAAAAAGTGATTTCAGTCCTAGGCAACACGAACATCCCAGGAGGCATTAACAATCCTGAACTTTAAGTTATATTACAAAGTGATAGTGATAAAAACAGGAAGGTACTGGTACAAAACCAGACCTGAGGATCAATGCAACAGAATCGAGGATACAGAAAAAATGCTTTCAGCTATTTGAACTTTGACAAACATACACTGGAGAAAAAATAGCCTCTGTAATAAATGGTGCTGGGAAAATTGACTATTCCATGCAGAAGACTGAATCTAGACCCATACATCTAAAAATAGAGCAAAAATCCCAATGCCAAAACAAAAATAATCTAGTGGAAGAAAAACAGGTAAAACTCTGGAAGACATAGGTGTAGGCAAGAACTTTCTGATTAGAATCCCAATTAGGCAAGAGAAAACAGCAAGAATCAACAAGTGGGATCATACCAAATTAAAAAGCTTCTTCACAGCAAAGGAAACAACCAGCAGAGTGAAAAGACAACCTACAGAATGGGAAAAAATTTTTTGCCAGCTATACCTCAGACAGAGGATGAATATCTACAATACATAAAGAACTAAAAAAAATTACACCTCCCCAAATAAAAAACCAATCAAAAATGGGCAACATTTCTCAGAAGTACAAATGTCCAATATATATGTGAAAAATGCTCAACATCCCTGGGTATTGAAGAAATGCAAGTTAAAACAATATGGAGATTCCACCTTACTCCAGAAAGAACAGTCATCATCAAGAAATCAAATAATAAGTGCTGGCAGTGCTGTGTGGAAAACGAAACTCTTTTATGTTGGCAGGAATATAAACTAGTAAGAACACCATGGAAATCAGTATGGAGACTCCTCAGAAAACTAAAACTAGAAATTCCATTTTACCCAGCTATTCCCCTTCTAGGAATCTTCCCCAAAGAGTTAAAGACAGCATATTACAGTGATACATGCATACTCATGTTTATAACAGCATAATTTATAATAGCTAAATCCTGGAAGCAGCTCCTATGTCCATCAGCAGATGAATGGATAAAGGAACTGTATTTTTACACAAGGAAGGACTACTTTGCCAAAAAATAGGATAAAGTAATGTGTAGGAAAATGGATGCACCTTGAGACCATAATTTATTTTTGGTACCGGGGATCGAACTCAGGACCTTGTGCTTGTGAGGCAGGCACCAGAAGCACTGAGCTACATTCCTGGCCCTTGAGACCATAATGTTAAGTGAAATAAATCAGCCACTGAACTTAAATATCACATTATTTCTCTTATATGAAAAACTCAAAATGTAAATAAAGAGCAACCAAAAAAGATAGGGAGCTAGATCTTTTGCAAAAGGGAAGAGGACCAAGAGATGGAGGGTGACACCTCTGGTGACCTGGCTCCCCTTCCCCAGACCTGGCTCTGGACTGGCTTAGGAGGAGATGTAATAACACTGGGGTCCTGGATGCCTCCTTCTCCCTATGCAAATTGGACTCTTGGACTGTGGCAGCAGATCCTGGAAGTTCCACAATCTGTGTCATGGATTTGGATTCTGAGTTTGTGAAAAGGAAAAAACTTCAAGGGACTCAAGTCCTCACATCCTCAGAATGGCAGCGTGAAGGAGTTCAGACAAGGTTGGAGATAGCATTTGGGCTTGGATGTAAAGGGTGTGGGGGGACCCCCAGGGGCCTAAGAAAGTAGGAAATTCAAGGAGGAAAATTATCTTTTAGAAATAGGGGTGGCACCCTCTGCAGAGAGCCGGATGGTAAATAAGTTGTACAGGCCATGCTGCATCTCCGGTAGGGCTCTGTCCTGCTGTGAGGTATCAAAGCCACCACAGAGAGGGAGGTCGCTCTCCAGTAATACTGCATTTACAGAACAGCCTAGCTCTGGCCTGCGGGCTGCAGAGGTCACCCCATCCCACAGGCTACTACACCAGCTCCTTGCCAACTCCACCAGGCATCTCCAGGGCTCAGCTCACTCTGCTCCTGGGCTGAGACTCTGCATTCCCAGAACCAGCATAAAGCAGCTATTTGGTGTACATCTGAGGAGGAAGCATGTGGGGAGGGGGACAACATTTACAGCAGACAAACCTTTCCAACCATTTCCAGCACTTTGGCAAAGAACTACCGGGCTTGCAGAGGAAAAGAAATCTTTGCTGATGACAGACACAGCCAGAAGTTGGCTGCCTGGCTTACAATTCTATTCCTTGTTAAAATGGAAACCCACAGGTCGATGTCAAGGCTGAACCCCAGAAAGCAGAGCTACTGGAACACCTGCAGACAATGCCCAGCCCCACACTTCGGCCTCCTTCACCACGGAGCAGCAGCAGTGGGGCCAGCTGAGGGAGAAAATGCTTTATTATTAGAAAATCTGAGTCTCTCTAGGCCTGAGCAGCACCATTAGGTGACGTCAATGGCTCAGGGTCTCTGAGCACTGCATTTCCACTCTGCTCAGAACAACGCTGATTCATGGTAATAAAGGCGTTTCTATTTAGAGTTGCAGATGACAGAGGTAGCCCTCACTTCTGAGGTCCCGTGCTAAGGGCTTGTCTGCTTTCCTTAGGCAGCACGAATAGTTCAGCTGGCAGAGGGCTGGGTCTGAGCCAATTCATTCAAGCTAATAGCCCAAGGGCCTTGTGTGTGCCAGGTACCTGGGCACTAATACCCTAGAGAGGGCAGGGCAGTTTAGCACACAAATAAATAGCTATGACAGTGGGGAGGGGCTGATACAAGGCAGAGGAGGGACTTTGGAGGCTTGGGAAGGGAAGCAGTACCTAATGCTTTTTGGGCTGCACCTGAAGGGCGGATAGGATTTGGGCAGGTGGAGTTATAGGGGGGCTGGTGACAAGAAGACTGGAAATCCTATGCATGGTGTGGGGGGTGGTAAGGCTGAATTGGTGGGGAAGGGGTACTTGATGTGGGACAGAGCTGTACTGATGGGAGAATGAATGAGCCTAATGGACCTATGCCCTGCCTGTGGATCCACAGCCCCAAAACGGTGCTTGGCACTGCTTGAGTTCAGCAGCTGTCTTTAAAAAGACACCAAGATTGCCTGTCCTGCTCCCATTGCTGTGTCACCTCTCACACAGACCTTGTTTTCCCTCTGGCTATGTCTCAATGTGGCTACTGGAAGAATTTTTTTTCCTGTGAAATCCATTCCTTTTCTTTCCCGGAGGTCTCCAAGGAATTGACTCCCTGCGTGACCTTTGGGTATTAACTGAACATTTCCTGATTCCAGATTAAATTCTCAGTGCTGAAAAGAAGCATTTTAGGTTGGACCAAATCTGATGGAAAAGCACAAGGCCTTGGATACCACTAGAGCCCCAAAGTGCCAGCCAGAGGCTCTCCAGATTCAGTCCAGTTGTCCACATGGAGCTGCCTGGCACTGGGGGGAGCCTGGGTGGCTCTCATCCTGCCAACCCACACAGCCCCTCACCTGGCCAGGCCTCACCTCAACCTGCACTACACAGGTCCCCACCATGCACAACACCCGGAAACCCTTGCAATCCCTTAGAGACACTGTCCCTTCTAAAACCTTCACCAAAGTCAAAGGCCACATTTTATGTTTTCAAAACTACAGTATTGTTAATTATGTTTGTTGCATACTTTTTAACCAACAAATTAGAAAGTATGAGTTAAAAATCCACATGATCTAGTGAAAATATAAATTAAATACAAAAAAATACCTTTACTAATGTTGCTTGCTATTTTAAAACTACCGTTAAATGTTCCTAAGTAGAGCAACTTACTAAAATTCTGCTACATTAGAAGACAACATTCCCTACATTAGGGATCCCCAACCCCTGGGGCACGAGCTGTACTGTTAGGACCCGGGCCACACAGCAGAGCTGAGTGGCAAGGGAGGGATAGCCAGAAAAAGTTCCCCTGTACCTCCAGCTGGGCCTGTCCCCAGAATCCCCTGCTGAGCTCAGATCCTGTCAGAGGCATGAGATTCTCTTAGGAGCTGGGAGCGTGAACCCTACTGTGAACTCTGCATGTGACAGAACTAGCTGTGAGCTCCTCTGAATCATCCTGAAACTATCTCCTCCTCACTAAAAAATCATCTTGCAAGAAATCAGTCGCTGGTGCCAAAAGGTTGGGTACACCTTCTTGGTATGAATGGTAAAAAAACAATTTATTATAGTACTAATTTGGAATGGCTCTTTTTTTTTTTTTTGGGTACCGGGGATTGAACTTGGGTCCTTGTGCTTGTGCGGCAGGTGACGAAACCGCTGAGCTAAATCCCTGGCCCTGGAATGACTCTTATTTTTGATGTGACTTTGTAGGGGTGAAATGCTCAAATGAATATTTTTTTTCATTTGTTTAAGAAATTAAAATAGCAAATAGAATTTTTTTGGGGGGGTGGGAGGAAGAATTTTATGCTCTCATAAAATGTACTGTCCTGGAGAGGGAGCCACAAGACACAGCACAGCCAGTGTGCACCAGTAATAAAGTAAGAGAGGCTTGCAGGGGAATTGTAAAAACTATCTGTTGGAGCTGTCTGACTTTCCTACCAACCTTCTTAGCTGGTGACAACTGTAAGCTATGGAGGACAAGCAGAGAGCAGCAGAGAGAAGGGAACACAAGGCCATGCTGACAGCAATGGAGAGAGCCGAATACTGTACCTGCTTATTCTTGTCAGTGGTACAACACAGCTTCTTGAGTGAGACAAAATGCCTAATTTTCCTAATAACATAAATAATCAGCGATTAGGAAATCAGACAGGAGACAATTCAAAAAATCAGCAAATGAAATCATTAGCAGAATCTTCTTAAAGCAAAACTCAAAGATATCTCCTAGAACTCAAGCAAAACCCAAGCTGCAGAAACACATTTCCCATACAAGTGCCCCGTACACCTACAGGAGGGGCATCCTTGCTGATCCTTGATGGCTCACAAACCCTCCTGGAGGGTGCTTCCCTTCATAGCTGCCTCCTGAAGATTGGGGCCTAAGTATTGTCAGTGAGAGGATGAGATGCTACTGCAGATAAATTGGTTTTAATTCTGCTGACATGAATAATTTTACTGCTTAGACAAAAAGCAAAAGACTTATTTGGACAGTGTCCAAATTTCATGGGATTTTTTTGGTATTAAATATTTCATATTATTTCACACTATGTTTGTCCTAATGGAAGTATTTTTTTTTCAGTCTAAGAAAAACCCTCTTATTTCAAGATCATGGACAGCATCCCGAATCTCAGCCTGTGGTCTTGCTCACTGCTATCAAAATATGGCCTGTGCTGCAGCTTTAGGCAAAAACCAACTCAGGGTGGATTTTCTACTGACAGCAAAGCCATCAAGTCCACAGATTATGTTAGACTCTGCACCCCAGAAGGATTTGGGGTGTCCTCTTTCTTTATCTCTCTCTGGTTCATTTTTCTCTGGATGATGCTAAAAAGGGCACAAAAAGTACATGTTATTCTGAAATGAGCTGTACTCAAACAGGAAGGGGTAAAATCTCCTTACTTTTAATCAGAATTGCCTCTGATAGCTCACTGCCTACACTTAGGGGAAATAACACTGGAAATTGTGTCTGGATAAAAGAATTTCTTTCTCTCGTCTGTCAAATCAGAAAAATTGATTCTGACAGAAATCAGTAGGCAGTAGGATGTCTCTTCTGCTTTGGTTACACAAAGATTCTGGTCACATACACATGAAGTGGATCTTAGCTTCCATTTCCGGAGAAGATGGTCTAAAGATGATGAAAACAACATGAGTGCCAAGGGCATTATCTTCTTCCAGGGGCTCTGTGCACTGACGGCTGGTGGGGATGGCCATGCTGAGGCCATGCCTTCAGGATGAGGGCCTGGGCCAGCCTCTGCTGAGGTGGGTGACCCTCAGCAAGGGGCCTGTCCATGTCCGAAACCTCCAGCCAAAGGGGAGACGCAAGTTATAAAAGAGCACGACATAGCAGGCAGTGGTCTCTGAATTGACAAGAGGATAATTTCAGACTAAACAAACAAGTAAAACTGGAGGCAAAACAATCTACCAGTAGTTTGAGATTTAACAAAATACTGTTTTCTAATCACACAAGTTTCAAGGAACTCAAATATCCCTGAAAGTCATGAGTAAGACTTCTGGTTCCAGCTATTGGCATGAAAACTGCTATCTTGTTTTTTTTCAAAATTTCCCACATTATGTGTTCCTTATAAACTCAAAACTCTCATGTTGGTGTTGACCTTCAGACTCATTTATGAGGGCTCATCAGCGAGGTAATCTCAGGGATCCTGCTTGGCTTTGGGAACTTCCCCACACAACTGAACGGGGAGAAAGAAAAGTAATTGCATCTTTTCCTTATCTCTCCACAAATAAACAGGTCTCTTCCCATCATCTGAGATCCATGAAGTCAACTCGTTCAGAACCTTCCCTCTCTGGTCCTGGCTCTTAGGAACAGCAGGGGCACAAGTGATTAAGTGGGGGTGGAAAGTTGGGGTGTGGGGTTGAGGCTTCATGAGAGATCAGGAGCAGGAGCATGGGGGAGACCACCCTGGAGGCTGCAGCTGACCAGGTAGAGATGCCCCGGTACCTACCACAGACAGCACAGCCTTAGTCCCGTGTGCACCTAGATTCATGCTGGCATTCCAGTGTGCCAAGCCAATGCCCCCCCGGGCCCTGTGTGCTCAGCTGGAGTAAAAAAGTGGAAGAGTCTGCTCTCACCCTCCTTGGCCAATAACCGGAGTGATCTTCACGTGCTGTTGGATGCTGTCCCCGGACTTCCGTTGGGCATAGTAAACCCCCTGCCACTCCTACATGGACAAAGACAGCTCTTAAAATCCTTCCATCGAGGCACATAGCTGCTTCTACAGAGGGCCTTCATGGGCTGAGTGAGAAAGTCCTCATGCACTTTTGTGACATTTCTCCAAACTCTGCTGCATTGATGTTCCCGCGCAACACTGACATTGTCACAATGCATAAAGACAAAACTGAGACCAACATGTCCACTGCCAGGATGCCTGTTCTGGAGCCAGGACACCAAACCATAGGTGGAATTCCTGCCCTCAGCCCTAGTGGTGCCACGGTGCCAGGTCTGAGAAGTCAGTCCTGAGATCTTCACAACCTGTGAGCTTGATATCGTCATCCTGAATTTATAGACGGGTAAACTGAGGCTCAGAGACTCTAAGTGACTGGCCCACATTAGCAGAGGGTCTGATTATAAATTAGTATCTCTATTTCTCCCTGACCCTCCTAGCTGTTGAACACTCCAGGGTCCTCCTAGCTCAGGCTCCTCCAGGGTTACTCTGGCTTCTTACAGTTTCTGCAGATGATGCCAAGGGAAGCTTGAAGATTCCTACAGTCTCTGGACCTTGGGGATCCAGTAGAGATGAAGAGCCAGGTGACCTCAGGGGACGCCTCAAGCACTGCACTGCTACCAGGTCAGAGTGATGAAGTGAGAACATGAGGTTCTCTGTGGCTATTCCCCCTCCCCCACCACCACCACCATGTAGCTAACAAGCACGCGCCCTGGTGCTGCCAGACGTTTGCCAGAATTCTTTCAGCAAGTACTTTACAAATGTCCTGTTTCTTTTTCATGTCCTTATTGTTCCAATTGTTAAAAAAATTAATCTTGGTCATCCTCTATAATCCAAACTTTCTCTATAAAATGGCCCCTATTCAATCATGACAATGGTCATTCAACTGTTGCACAGTGGATAAAGAAAGGTGGAAGAAAGAGTGTACAGAGAGGCATATGGAATGCCCCGAGGACTGTGCTCCTCTGAAGTACTGGGCTGGAGGAGCAGCTCCTCCTGCATTCCCACAGTGATCGTCACCTGCCAAGATGAAATGCAAGCCACTGAGGGAACAGGTAGTGTGGGGAAGAGTACCTGTGAAGACTGAACAGTGATGAGTTCAGAGAACATAAGAGGACGCCTAATAAGAAACTCAGACCATCGTTAATACTGACACTAAGCTCTCCTCATGCCCCAGACACTGATGAACTGAACACACGGCAGCTCTCAGGGTAGATGGTGTTCAAAGACAGGAGTGATAGTCCAGCAATGACAGGGGAAAGTATTCATCCAGGTTGAAAGGTCCTTTCACAAAACAGTATCCTGTATCATCATGACAAGCACCAGACTAACCTGAGATCCACAATTAACTGACCCGTTAGCTCCTTCTGTAGATATCAGGGATCTTTACTTAGCCGTGTTGTTATTAAAGAAGCCAATCTTAAGGGAGGACATAAATGCTCCGTGGGTGGGGGTGTGTGGATTGGTCTTGTCAGTTCACCCACCTTTCCCTTCTTGATGCATGTATTGATGGTGTCAAGAAGGTCTGCCCGGTTCTTGTCACTCTTGGGCAGCTCGGCCAGTTCTTTCCCCAGGAGCTCCCCTTTGTGGTAGCCCATCATCCTCTCGAAGGCTGGGTTGACATACTGTCAGGGGGAGGAGGGTATGTGTCAGCGTCCACAGGGACACTTGCCCGAGCAGGAGTATCAAGCACGAAGTTGCCTAGACTGTTGCCCTCTAATGCAGGTGTCCCTGGGCCCCGAAGAGTGTCCTGGACCCCCCTGGAGTAAGGGCCTCCATCCTGGGTGGCAATTTATTCATTCAGCTGCCAGCCCTGTCTCCTGCAGGAAGCTGGAAGAAACTCTTTAGCAGGAAAAGGGCAGGAGCTCTCATTTAGCAGCCCCAGGCTCTAGTGGGCCTCATTCACCATCTACTGCCCTATGAAATCAGGAAAATCTCAGAAGACAGAAATACAAAGGCAACTTCATGGTAGAGCACTTCCCTGGTGCTATTAAATAAATAAATACTAAATCAGAGCTCAGTTAAACAGGTTGTGGCTTGTTGTGGTCACACAGCTGGGCAAGGCAAAAATCTAACCCTGCATCTCCTTGCCACAATGTGTTAGTCAGTGCTGTGGTGGGGGCCACTTCCGGTCTAATCTGAACAACAGACACGGTTAAATAGCACGGCTGGAGTCAGCCTTCTCAGCACTGGGCACGGGGTAGTCAGGAAGAGAAGAATCCTGCTGGGGCACTGGGTCAGCAGTCTCAGAGGTTTCTTTCCAAAAGTCTGCTGAGGAGCTGGGATTCAGAGCTGTTGCCTTAGCTGACTCCCAGCTCAGGCCCTACCCACCAATTTCTGTTCAAGGGCCATGGTCACCAGATGAGAACAGGGGACGGGGACAAGGGGTGCAGCGGGTGGGGAACCTGAGCCCCTGAACCTCGGTCATGGTTTTCTTTGGGTTGGGTTTCCATCCATCTGCAGCTTCAGAAACATTCTCTCGATTATAATCACTCTTGCCCTCCACTGGGAGGACAGTGGTCATAACCTAGGTGACACTGGGACACTTGGGGACCTATTGCCTGGGGAACAACTCCTACTCACACAACTAACTCCAGGGACTGAGGGCTCAGGAGGATGCTCCGGCCATCAGGCCTATGGAGGTGGCTGAAGGGGAGGAGTCATGACATTGTCTTCACAGATTTCTAGTCCCCTCTGGGCCTGCCCCTGAGCAGGGTAGGTCATGACTGTAGCCTATCCCTGCTCACCAGGCCAGCCCTGTGATCCTGGTCCTACCTCCGTAGGCTTTGAGGTTCCTGCATTTCTCCCTCCTCTCTGGGCCTCTCCCCATGTGTGCTGTCTGCCTTGAATGCCCTTCTCATCTCTGCCTCACAAACTCAGCTCCAAGATGTCCCTCACCTCCTCTGGAAGCCCTCCTTGACCTCTGCCCAGTCTGAGTTGGCGCCACTCCCAAGAGCTTCCCAAGAGTCCTGTGCTGACTTCTTGTGGCTTAATTACATTACATAGGATGAAATCTTTATCACTCTCTCCCATTAAATATTACATTAAAATCTCCAAAGCCAAGGCTATTTTGGAGTTATCTTTGGGTAATCAGGGCTGTTTATATTTGATGAGTAAATAGAGGATGCACTGTTTTCCTTATTTGCTGGCTACAGTCTTGTACATTTTCACCTGTGTGGTTCTGCTTTGGTTGTAAATATGGGTAGAAGTCATGGCCCTTTTTCAATCAGGGATCTTGTAACCTCAGAACACAGAAGGTACACCAGGAAATGACCCCAGAGTCCAAGTGCCCACATTCAAAGCCTGGCTCTGCCCATGACAGGCTATATAACCATGGAGAAATTACTTAACTTCTCTGGTCTTAGGTTTCTTCAACTGTAAAATTGATGCAATAGTAGTACCTGACCCACAGGATTGTCTTAAGGAATAAATGAATATATATAAAATGCCCAGAACTGTACCTGGCACAAGGTAAGTATCATATAAATGTTTAAAGCAAATATAGATAAATAGAAGTGGGGGAAAGACAGGGAAGGAGAGAGACAGGGAGAGACAAGTAACAGATACTTCTTAAATTTTAAGTGCTATGACCTGGCCTCTGAAGAGCTCACAAAGAGGCACACACTAGCTGGTGCATTCTGAGAAGGATGCTGATGTCAAGCGGGAAGATACATAAAACATCTTGTCCAAGATGATTCATCCTTGAAACCTATAGTGCAAGGTCATTTTAGTGCCCCCTTCCATGTCAACAATCTCTGTTCAGCTTTTCCCTGCTTCTTCTTGCTTTGAGTTTTACATTTCAGATTGCTGGTGTATCTTTAAAAGCAGCACAAAGAGAGTCACTGAGGAAAAAACTGTACCATCTTATTCAGAATCCTTTCAGTGCAGAGATATCCCTCCATCCCCTTTACAGGCACCAGCTGTCCTCAAGCCCCTGGTTCTTTCTGCTAATGTAGAGCCCAAGAGATGCTTTATGTTATAAAGTGGTACTGTCACCATGTTACATCTCCTGGGGGTATGGGTTTGCTGACTACCAGCTGCTACTTGTAGGGTGAAGGACTTGGTTCCCTAATTAAGCAGAGAAGGCAGGCAAAGAGCAGGAAGCCCAGACTCCTCATCACTGAAGTCATAATCTAGCTGCCCACTGTATAGTAGGGTAGGGCAAAGAACACGTGTTTCCTGAATAGAATTGACCCAAGTTCTTGGTCTATGACAGAGAGATGCCTGGCCTTCTCTGTGGTCCAAGGGATAGTGCTGTCCAGTAGGTCAGTAACAGAGGCCAGTAATAGCTAGCATCAAAGACAGCTACAGATCCATTTCAAGGGGCACAAGGAAAACAAAGTCTAAGAATACAGACAAATAGGAACCAGGCAGGAAGGCTCTGGAGTCAGAAAGACATGGCTATGTGTTTTGGATTCAATGCTTATTACTAGGGCTTTCCTCGGATAATTCTTTGACCTTGTTGGGCCAGAGTCCTCACTTGGAGTCTCCGACAATTATGTCTTCTTCAGTGTTGCTGAATGGGTCTGCTGGGGGATTAGATGAGACAAAGTGTGTGTGGGGGGTTCCTGACCTACTCTGCAAACCTGATGCAGGCAGGCCAATAACCAAATAGTGCAGTGTCTACATTTCAGGGTATTTTTAAGTGTAGATGCTTTGTTCTCCAACAGTTAAAATAAGAACACTTTATTTCAATGAAGGTTTGTCTACGATACAGATTTCTTTAATGAGATGACATTAGTGTAAGAGTGCTTTATAATTAGATACCAACCACAGGCAAATGAGTGTCTTTGAAAACATTCTGTTCCTATGGATAGTTATAAGCATTTGTTCTACAGATCTGATTTACTTCTGTGTAAATACTGTCCTGACCAATGGCCCCCAAAATTTACCACATCTCTGTCAAAGAAATCACAGGTTCCAATCTGAATAATTTTTATTCTTTATTGAATATCTTATTCTTAGCTTAAGTCTATCAGTATTCTTTGCATACTTTGATTTTCTTTCCTTCAATGTGCTAATATATGAAGATTATGGGAAAGTACGTGAAAAAGGACAGCTCAAACTTGAAAGGTTCTATTTTGATATCTAATGATATAAAGTTTTTCTTTCCATACCTGAATCACGTGGTCATCGCTTGTTATTTCTATGGCTTCATGACAGTGGTCTAATGCTGTAAACACTGAATTACAGGCCCTGAAAGATGCAAAAGCCTACTGTTAGTTCTTCTATGAAGACCATTTGTATTTTATCTGTTAATTTAACAAAGTAATCACAACCCAGATTCATTATGCCTATGCGCATCTGTTATTGTTATGGTCTGAATATTGGTGTCCCTTCAAAATCCCTGTGTTGGAATCTAATAATGCAATGGTATTAAGAGGTGGGGCTTCAGGAATTGATTGTCATAGGAGTTCTAGCCTCATGAATGGTACTGGTGCCCTTACAGAAGAGGCCAAGTGAGTTTTCTGGCTCCTTCTGGCACGTGAGGACACAGAAAATGCCATCTATGAATAATGGGCCCTCACCAAACACTGAACATGCTGGTATCTTGACCTTGAACTTCACAGCCTCTAGAACTGTGAGCAATAAATTTTGTTATTATAAATTACCCACTCAAGGTGTGTTGTTACATCAGTCTTACGTTTTGGGAAAAAAGTAGTCTTTCAAACTAAATGCATAAACAATGCATGTTTATCTGTTTATGATTCAGAAAGAACTGTAATTCACCAAAATCTGAATGGATTAGGTGTGCATTGAACGAAACTTCAATACTGCCACAGAGAGCAAAGATGCAGACGAGATAGAAGTTCCACTTGTTAATGTTGTATGTCAATGATGTTCCATTTACTTTACAGTTGTGGTCATGGAGAAGTCAAGCCCTATCAATCAGGTGAACCTAATTAGGCTCAAATTGGATCTCAGGTTTTCTGACCCTTTGCAACAGGCACAGAAAGATTTTTTTCTCTTCTTACTTTTGTCATGTTACTTTGCTTTGACCCATGCCCACTAGCAGGATGGAAGACAAACATGACAGAACTCCCCTTGCCCAGTTCATGTACCTATATAGTCTCCTAGGTGGTACTTTTCTTCTGGGATATTTAAAATCAGGCTCTCAATTTGCAGCCATAATTTTAACTGACTTCTAAATCTAGAGCAACTCCAAATACAATAAGTTATTTACTGTGCAACCCACTAAGTATGTAGCTAGAGCTGTTATTCATACTGACTGTCAAAAGAATCCTAGCAAATGTTTTCTTACACATTACCAACAGAAAAAGCTGATTTATTGGATTGATATTCCTTCTTATAAAACAAACTCTTATGATGTAATTTTTCCACTCATCAAGGCAATTTAATTTTGCTGCCCTGTTTGGATCAATTTATAAGGAAGAAGGAAGAAAGCACTAGGTGAAATCGGCTCTGTCTATAGTTACAGGACCTTGAGCAATGTTTTATTTTTTCTTACTCTTGATTTCTTCATCTATAAAATGAGGAATGATAATGCGTATTTCACAGGTTTTTGTCTGGATCAGAATTGGTGGTTTATGTGAGACATTTCTCAAAGTACTCGAGACCCTACCAAAGAATTCAGCACATGGTAGCTGTTATTATTTGTAAGATCACAGAGTAATGTTTCTTTATTCTCCAAGGCCTTAAAAAACCTTGGGCAAGAAGAAAAAATGAATCATAACCCATCTTTACTCATGAGTGTACTTGAAATGACAAGCCCAGAACTACTATATCCAGTAATAGCAAGATAACCTGCACATGGAATAAAGGATTTTAGCTCACTGATGGGCTACATTTTTATAGCTGCAGAGATGAGGATGTCAGTATGTAGAACCAGCCACTGCGCTAAGGGTGAGCAGGACAGAGAAGAGAACCAGCCTTAGTGGACTAATCCCTGAGCAGCTCAGACCATTTCTTTATTTCAGTTGCCCTAGTCCACCTAATTTGAACAGTAAGTATACTGTCAAACATCATCACTGCACTTGAAAACATGGCCACTTAAAATAAGACAAAAAAATAAGAGAGGATGCTAAGACTATGCCCAATGTCATTATTTCACTGCATATTGAAAGGCAGGGAAGACCCAGCCATACCAAAAGTACTTTCCAGGCATGTGGCCCAGCTGCATAGGAAGGCATTTTCAGGCAACAATAGCCTTTCAGAAGTTAAACATAGGGAAACAGACTCTCTGTGGGCTAATCTGTCAACTTTGAGAGCTGGATAATTAAATTCTAATTAATACATTTTATCAAATGATAAATTCCTCTCTTGCTAAAGTATCTTCTCTAAGGTATCTATATGTCTCAACTAATTGTGTAAACAGGTACTTCAGGCTATTATCATTTTGTCAATTCAAGAGGCAGCTTTATACACGATCTTACATCCAACCTGCAGAGCTGATCTATTAAACATTCATTTCATGATTATCCACAAAGCACAAACTCTTCAATAGGTATTATGCCCAACAGGATACAGGCAATTCTTACACTGACAGCACATTCTTTTCCTGCCTGCCTGCACCGAGACAAACATGACCAGACTACAATGTTTATTTGGGCTTTCAGCCTCTTTAGGCTGATGGCTCTATTTAAATAAACCTGCAGCAAAATGGGGTAATCAATTTGAGTCATGTTCCTAGAGTTTGAGAATTTAATTGCCTTTATTAATTATTCACATGCTTCAAGCAGAAGAACCTTAGCTTTTATTAACTTTTTGTTCTTGGGAACCATGTAACTGCATCTCAAATGTCTTTATTTTTTTACCTTTTAGGTTAAGAAGTTGAAAACTGGACAAAGAAATATAAGGGAAAGAAAGGTACCCTTGTTTGAAAACTCAGAAATGATGGGCCATGTAACCATTACTCCCGTATTTTCTTGAGGGCCTTGAAGGTAGTGGGGGAGGGAGGCAAATATAACAGGGGTCCAGGCAGGAAGTCCAAAAATAACATAGTGCTCCAATAGGGTGCCCGATTCTGCTCCAGTACTGCCACCCACATGTTGGGTGGTTGTTGTCATGCCAAGAGCCACCCTGGCTTTTATGGTTTTCCTCTGTCAATTGTGGCTGGGGTGAATATGTGATCACTTTTCTGTGTGGCTTGGAAAGGTACTCTATCTGGAGGCAAGTGCACGCATACACATGCATACACACACACACACACACACACACACACACGCACGCACTGAAGTGACCTAGAACAAAGGTGGGTCTGGGCAAGGTGATGGCTTAAAGGGAGAAGATTCTGAACACAAGTCCATGCCTCAGCAGGAGTCTAGAATGAGTGTGTGGACAATGATGCAGAAGAGGCTATTCCAAGCATTATGGCTGTCACACATAGCCCTGTCAAGATAAAGAGCTCTACAGAGGTCTGCCAGCACTGAGAGATGGAGTGTCCCACAGAATACAGAGCTTCATCCACCAGAAATTTCAATTCTTTCTAAAACTGAGGACTGCTATTGTCTTAAGTTTGGGGACAAAATACACAATTGTTTGGATGTCACCGCTAGACTAGGTAATGAGGCAAAGAATAGCTGGAACTGCAAGAATATAAACTGATCCACTGGAACTTTTGATAAATAACTAAACCATTGTCTTTACTTTAGATAAAATAAGTCTTTTATGATAAAGAGGCATAAAAACTTTAAAAGAGATAAACGGCCATCATTTAGCTTGGGTTATCCTACACACTGCATTTCCTGAATTCTGTCCGGCAGAGTAATTCATCAAATGAATACAGAATGTGATTTAGGTCTTACATCTCCAAAAAGTTATTCTATACAAAGGAATCTTAAAATTAGATACATGTTTGGTTTGAACAGATCAGACTTGTTCTTTTTCTTTCCTTGGTTAAATAAATACGGTCACATACATGAAGCCTGGGTCAGAACTGTCTACCTTCAACATTCAGCATTATCCTGCAGTACAGATTGTGTCCTTGCAGAATCACAGTCATGTTACATATTTAGCTATAGCTGGGGGCGGAATTGTAGGGAAAAGTATTACATAATTAGACTATAATTATTCTGGCATTGTATAATAAAGAGCTCATTTCTCAGTCTGTAGCAAATGACAGTCACTTGCCTGCCTGGGGTACGGTAGATGCTTTAAATGTCCTTGAACACTCTAAAGAGCTGGAGGTGCTCATGGTCTGGGTCACTGTCTCCTCTTCTGCTGAACCCAAATTTGGTAGACCTGGGGAGCTTCCAACCATGCAAAAGCATGTGTGCACACATACACTCAGGAAGGGAGAGAACTTAGGTAAGGTTGAGGCAGAACCAGCTAACAAGCAACAGCAGAAGCTGGTGTGAAAGGTAAGAGGATCCAAGAGCTAGGCAAGCCAGCCTTCCCAGGCCACTGCCTTCCTGGGTCAAGTCATTCACCAGCTTCACACTAATTTGTATGGAGGACATGAGCCTTTGCATTATGACCTCAACAATGGGCCCAACTCCTTCAGCTGTTTGCAGGCAGTGAGAAGTGAGAAGCTATAGCAGTAGGTACTTAGAAACTTGCAGTGTTTCTCAAGCTGATACAACCTTCAGAGATTTGCAGTGTTCTGGTTCTAAGCAGGTTTTAGCAACACAATCAGCTAAAGCTTCTTTCTTATGGCCTGTGTAGGCTACATTGTTTATTTCAAACTGCCAGACCTGCCTGTATACTGCTCACCATAAACAAGGAGCCCCCAAGGGCCCTGAGGGAGTGCCGAAGGCCTGATCAGGGACCCTCCTGGCATCTACTACAGGCCATCATATTTAATGCTGCCTAGGAGAGCAGCAGCACTTTTTAAAATAAAACAAGGGAATTGCCTGTTTAAGCAATAAAGTGTTGGTCTGTTCCTTTTTTCCCATAGATATTATAGAGTTAACGAATTAAACCACACTGTAATCTCTTTTTCTGTTGTATTTATTGTAAAAACATCTAAAATAAAATATCTAAAATTTTTGCCCTCAATTAAAAGCAGTAGAGACATTCAGGAATAAGAACAATTAATGCACATTATTCAAAAGCATAAATTACTAAAGTAAAGATAATGTAGTTTTTTAGAAAAATTGTATTCAGTTCTATGATGCTAATAAACATACAGATTAAAAAGAAACCCAGGGATTTAACTGACTTAAACATTCACAACAGCTTTGGTGCTATTCCTCATCAAAGGCCTTGGTAATCAGAACTCCCCAAATATCTGAATTTCCACCAGTTTGAGATTCTCTTTTAATCTTTTCATCTAAGAAAAGTATTTGTTCCAACACTACTTTTTAGAGCTCTCTATTTATCAAAAAGCAACTTCCAAGACCAGGGTGCACCCAGGGAAGACCTGATTCTGTAGCTTTTTGCCAATCCATTTTGCTTCTCAAGGACAGAACAGAATTAGGTTCATCTCTGGAAGCAAAACAAATAATCAAGCTGAGGAGTATAATTATTAAAAGGGCTAGGAATGTGGCTCAGTGATACAGCATTTGCCTAGCATATGTGAGGCCCCAAGTTCAATCTCCAGCATTGTAAAAAGAATGTAATCATTACAAGGAGATGTTGTCTCACTTACTTTACACTGGGTACGGAACTACCAGTGACTTCTCAGCTAGCCGGAGAAAGAAGCCATGCATGGACTTTCCTGCAGGCTGCCAGGAAGCTTCTGTCCCAGGGGTCAAGGGTAAAGAAGAGCCTTGGCCCTGCTCTATGGCTTAAGGAGGATGGGTTGAAGAGATCAAGGTCCTGAGAGCAACTTAGAACAGGGCTGAGCTCAAACAGGGAAGTGCTAGGACCTGACAGTCCACAAGAATCTGAAGCAGGACTTGCCATGCCTGCCTCTGAGCCTGGGCAGACACTAAGGAGCCCACTTGGGGCTGAGCCAGTGAGAAGCCTGCTCTTGAAGTGTGACACACCTATAAAGAAGCCTAGCATCCATTCCTTGAAGACACTTCATGCATGTAGAGGCCACAGATTCCATGAAAATGCTAACTGTGGCCACATAGCAATTCATATGATCAGCATAATAAATATACTTGCAGGTGCCCCTATAACAGTACAAGTAGGAGTTTATAAATGGTCAAAGTGGGAGTAGAAAGTAATCCTCAAAGATTATTTTTAATCCTGATCTACTTATGCAAAATTAAATAGGACTTTTCCTGGGTTATGATTTTAAAACTGCTGTAAATAGTGGAAAATACTGTCAAAAGAAGAAATGCTTCCAAATTAGTTCATTATATCAAGGGGTCCCTGGTTTAGCTACTGCTGCTGGTCAGCTGCCATGACCGTCAAACAGCTTCAAAATCCCTGGAACTCAGCTATAAAACTGTGAACATCAGCCTGCTGACAGGTAAAATTTTCTGAAGAACTGTTAACCTCATGGTACCAACTCATTTTGCTACATACCGTAACTTGAACTGTGAGCGAACTTCTCCATGTTCTATTTGAATCAGTTCATTATAGCAAGCAATTATGCTGCTATTCTCCATAAATCTCTGAAAAGAAAGCAAAGATAATGCATAAGACATTTCCAATTATTTCTTAGAGAGTCAAATAGAGGAACTTAACAATTGTTCCTACCCTCAGGTAACTGTTACATAAGACATCTAGTAGGTAGAATGAGATGAAATAGAAAAGTTGTCAAAGAGTCTGAAATGCTTGTTTAAATGCATGAGGAAAACAGAGCAGTAATACTTGCACTTAGCTCCCTTTATAATAAAGGTGGGATAAATATCATTATGAATAGTCACAGGAAAATAAACACAAGGCCACAGAATGCCTCTCCAAACATGCTAATTACTAAAACAGTTTTGCTTCATATTGTACTAATTAAAATCATCAAATCCCAATAGTCAACACATGCAGCTTGCACTACACCATCAGCGATCTTTTTTGAGGGGAGAGGATATTCCTTCTTTCTGAGTGCCTAACACTGAGCTCATTTAAAAACAAGCGAGATCAACAAAAGAAGACAAACAATCCACTGAAAAGGTGATCAAAAGACTTGCACAGACAGTTCTCCAAAGAAAATATACAAACGGCTAAGAGGCACACGAAAAGATGCTCAACACCTTGAGTCATTAGAGAAATGTAAATCAAAGCATAGAGAGTGGTCACTTCACACCCAGTAGGATGAAAACAATTTTTTTTTTTAAAAAAAAAGAAAAGTAGTATTGGTGAGCATGTGAAGAACTGAAAGCCTTGTGCATTGCTGGTGAGGATGTAAAATGATTTTGTCACTGTGGAAAATGGTCTGAGAGTTCCTCAAAAAATTAAACAGAATTACCATATAATCCAGCAATTCCATACCTAGGTAAATATCCACAAGAACTGAAAATAGATATTCAAACAAATACTTGTACAATCAGGTCCACAGCAGCATTATTCACCACAGCCACAAATTGTGGTAGGCACACACAATGGAATACTATTCAGCCACAAACAGTAATGAAATACCAATACATGTTACAACTTGCATGAACCTCAAAAAATACAAGCAAAAAAAGATACCAAAAGTCACACACTGCATGATTCCGTTTATATGAAATATCTAGAATAGGTCACTCTCTAGAGACAGAATGAAGACTGGTGGTTGCCAGGGCACAGACGGTAGAGGAAAGAGTTCTGGGAATAACTTCTTAAAAGGAAGAGTCTCTATTTGGGGTTGATAAAAATGTTTGTAGAGGTAGTGGTTCTATGCACCCACTTCTACCAGGCATGCGCTGTGGAAGCCCAGCACTCCACGAAGAAGTGGACCCTTTCATACAAAAATCCCAAAGCAACCTTTTGTTGTTGTTGTTTACTTTCATATACAGTGTCCACCAGAAAATGAGTATGCACTTCAGCAGTCCGCTGTACTAATAAGTGTCTGGAAGCTAATGGCCACCACTTTGAGCACCTCTTTTAATTGTAGGGGCCAAAGGTAACTTCTATTAATCTCATGATGTCTCAATACTTTTATTATTAAAATAGTTATACAAGTTTTCCTTTTCCTGGTGTATACATTTTTTGACAGACTCTGTATATACAATAACACTTGATATAGGACAAACAAGAGGCACTTCTCTTGCATGAACACATCAATATCTAGTGAGAAATGATGAGATGAGGAAAAAATGGCAAGTAAAAAATAGGAACGGAACAGATTTAAGGACAATTCTACTTGGGAATGGGGAAAATGCCTTCCATTTTAACTTATAAAAATATAGACCATGCAAAACTTTCTGAGCATGTGGCTTCCAAACTATTAAGTAAAAAATAGAACCAGAATTCCAAAGTATGGCAAACTCCCCCCTCACCTCTCTGCCTCTCAGATAGCTAGATAGAGGAGGACACAGAGCCCTCCCGAAAGACACATTGCTTGGATTTCCTTAAAACAAGTTGGCCAGAGAAAGAATCATCTTGCACATATACAGACACAGACAGGCAGACACACACACACACGCACACACACACACACACACACACATTCCTGGACTAAATGGCTTCTCCCTGGTGAATACCTTCAAAGCCCCTCAATTTCCCTGAGTCTCTGATTTCCCAGCTATTCCATGTGGAAGTGGAAAAGACTAAGGAAAGAGAAGAAGCAACAAACATACCAAGCGGACATACTTTCCTTAAATTTACAAAGCAAATTTAAATTTGAGTAGATTCAACTTGAATCTTTAGACTGGTGAAAACTCTGTCTCTGTAACTCTGTTACATCCCTAGTTATTTTTTATTTTTTATTTTGAGACAGGGTCTTGCAAAGTCACTAAGTTTCCCAACCTGGGCTCAAACTTGCAATCCTTTTGTCTCAGACTCCCAGAGTGCTAGGATTACAAGCATCTCCACGATGCCCAGCTGGTAAAGTAAGTTTTGATAAAGCTGAGATGAACACAGCAAGTTTCTTGACACAGGAGCTGCCAGAGGACTCAATATGCTTAAGGGCAACACTGCTAACGTGCATTGTGAATTCCCAGGGCAAGGAGGAAGAACAGTCTCCTCTCCTCCTTAACTTCTTTGATCACAGAAGCCTATTTTCATGAAATACCATAGAGGGATCTGGGGACACAGTGTCTCTTTGAACAGTTTGGGAAATCCTACTTTAGCAGACCCAACACAGAATTTGGATGAATGTGCTGTTGAGTATTTGACCTTGTCATCAATATGAGCTCAGGCTGTTTTGAGTCAGTTCCCTCTTCTGCACAAATAGAGAAAATATCAAATCCCTCATATGTCAAGGAGAATGGAGTGTATCACTTCACCTTGGCCTAAAAAATAATAAACTGTGGCTCCCCACTTTTTACTCCACAGGAGGCCTCTACAGAGAGAACTGTGTCCCACAGCTGCGCCTAGACATGTGTGGCACCCAGTCACAGCTCCAGAAATACTTGAGATGAATGAACATCAGCTGAATAAGAAGTAGCATCCAAAGGTGCCTCTACCAGGATGCTAGTGTCTAGAGGGCTCTGTGGGGACTGAGCACCATGACAGTTGCCTCATACACAGGGCTCCAAAAGCCTCCAGGAGAGCTGCTGGGGGTATCTGATGGCACAGTCTGTTCCTGAATCCCCACATATGGACCACAGACTGAAGGGCTGGTGAATCAGCCTGCAACGCAGGAACGAGTGTCAGCAAATGATATCATACAATCAGAATGACTCAGGAAGGGGAACAACCTCTGAAAGGCAGGAAGAGCTGGCATATATGCAAGCTGGGCAGAGAGTTGCCAAAGACAAGATTTTCTCTAGAAATGAACAGCAACCTGGAGATCTGCCTCAGCAGTTCTCCAGTCACAGTAACTCAGGGAAAGCCATTGAAGGTCCCAGGTACATCCCTTGGAAAGAGCCCCAGTGGCAGGGGCCCCTGACCCAGCTGGTGAGTGGCCTCAATAAGACTGGACCCAGCATTCAAGGTTGTCCCTAATGGATGTTGTCTCCGTGCTCCCACCAGGGGTTCATTCACTGTGGCTGACTACAAAACTCAGGAACACAGCCAGATCCATGGAGACCAAGCCTTCCAGAGTGGCACACACAGGTTACAAAATGTGTAAAGAGGAAACAGTGACTGTTTCTCCCAAGCTTTTCTGTGAGCAGATGTGCAATCTCAGGCCTACAATCAAGATGCTATTGCTCCAAATGACACCAACCTCCAAGGTGATGGAAGAAGAATCGCTGAGCTAAAAGCAGAATTCTCAAAGGCCACACTACAAAGCATGAGGCTCTAATCCACACAGCCTATGTGAGTGAAGTTCTTTCTCCACCATCCCTCAGGTAAGGAGGAAAACATCGTCCTCACACTCAGACAGTCCCTACTTGGGCTGGACAAGGTCAGTGTTGGGAGCCGGTGGGGTGGGGTGAGTAACGTGACACAGAGATCCACGAACCCTGTGAATACTTCTAGGGTTATTTCTCAGAAAACAAATAAGGAAGGTAAGTCTCAGCTGCCACATGGCTTCTTTGTCAACTGTCCTCTGGCAATTCTCCACCCCAGACTCCGAGGCATCCACTGCACAGGACAGCTTTTAAAGCCATGTGCTGGCCACCGCAGTAGGCGGGCAGGTGGCAGGCACAAAACAGCACAAGGAGGATGTAGAACCCTTCCAACTAGATGTGTTCACTTTTATTCCACATGGCAAACCACTATGCCGCCGTAATGCTCTCATATAACACTGGCCCACATTGAAGCACTCCCAAGCACAGAGCAGCTGCTCCACAAAGGTACTTTCTGCTTCTCTGTGGTCTGCAACCAAGGGTGAATTGTTTTGAAGTCCCAGACAGCAAAGGACCCAAAGGAATTTTCATGATCCACAGACACAGGCCATACCCTGTTTTTAAAGGGATGCATTATACTTTCTCTTAGAGATTCACAGTATTTGTACTAAAAGCCCTCGGGGTATATGGGAAGCCTAATTACTTACTATGGTGGCAAGTCTACTTGAAGTAGTCAATCTCAATATTAAAGCTGAATATCAGTGTTATTCAAATAGTTGTCACTCAAATAATTTACCTTTGCTGATGTTTGTAGTTTAAACCAGGAATTCACAAGATGGTACAGGTCATTTATTTCAGTTCAGATTATCAGCAAAACTTGCAGAGGCTAACTATGAATCTCTATCCTTTTTTTATCCAAAAGGAGTCCTTTCATATTTTTAATAGGAATAATAAATATGCTTGCTATGAAAAAATGCAAGCATACAAAGGTCCTCCATAACTTCTCTATAAGAATGTTTTCTCTTAATATTATGAAATATACTTATATAAAATTTGTTTCAATTACATTTTTGTACTCTCTCTTCTTTTCTTTCTTTATTTTAAATCAGCTTCATCATTTTCTTTCCATTTTTATGATCACAGTTTTGCCTCCAATCAAAGTCTCACCTTGAAATGCCTGGTGAGTCTAGCTATTCAGTTTGTGGGTAAGTCTCCTTGGAATAATCAACCTTCATCTTCAAGTTGAGTATCAGTGTTTTTTATGTAGTTGTCAATCAGAGAACTTACTTTGGCTGTCGTTAATGATATAAACCAGGAGTTCCAGCATGCCTGTCCCTACAATATGAGCATTGGCTGCGTCCAAGTCAACAGAGCCCTGTGTGCCAGTTTGGTGAACTCATCTTCATATAGCAACACACACGTTGAACCTGACTGACTAGACTGATTTTCATGAGCTTACTTGGGGACTACAGAATTTTGATCTGATCTGATAAGATGTATTTTGGCATCATTCCGTATCTATTGCTAAGATACATGAAGTAGTAAGAGAAAAAAACCAAAAAGCTTTGACTAGCAGTAGTTCCTAACCCATCCCACGAAAGCGGTTACTCACTTGCTCCATGGACCTGGAGCTCATTTCCCTTAATAGTTCCCACACTGCTCACTTTGCTGTACTGGGAGACTCCGGGGTAAAGTGTCTACCACCAAGAGGTGCTGGCTCACCATTACATACCCGGTTGAAGCCTGCATGGAGAAGAGGAAGGACTGAGGCCTCTTCATGGTCATCAGATCTGCAGCAAAGCAGAAAATGTGGTCACTCAGCAGATACAAATGAGGATTCCTCACACTGAGACATGGCGTTAGCTCTGAGAGTGGCTTCCGGACCAGCATGTGCCCACAGCATGCCCCTGTCTTTAGGGACCGATCAATCCCCCGTCTATCTTCCAGCTCCAAACAGAACCCAAACAGTGGAGGACACTCCAGCAGTGTGCCTGAAGGTGACACTGCCACACATGAGTGAGCAACCTGTTTCACTGCTGGGCGGGGATCAAACCTGTGGGAGTAGTCGCATCCTGAGACTGCTGTTCCCAGACCTCCTGGAAGTACCACTCCTGCCCCAGGGTCCAATTCTCAGTGTGAGGAAGCCACCAGTCAGTACTGGCTATGAGACTTCATGGCCAAACGGGAAACAAGCATCAGCAGGTACACAAAGTTAGAAGGGAGGGAAACAAAAACTGGTCACTGTCACTCATTTCATGAGATGGAGTCCTACACTGAGCCCACAGTTGGGTCTGGAGTACAGGGTAAGGATGGTAGCCGGCTTGTCTCAAGGGCTTCGCACAGCTAGGCTGTCACCATAGAGACAGAAATATGTCCCTAGATAGCCAGCAGGCAGTATGGGGTACACATCCTGAAAATCATGGAAGTGGAATAAAAGGATCGGGTGGAAATACCAATAGATAATAGGAAGAGAAGCTGGGTATGGTTGCCCATGCCTGTGGATCCCAGCTACTTGAGAGGCTGAGATGGGAGAATCATAAATTTGAGGTCAGTCTGGGACATGCAACAAGGAGTCCTGTTTCAAAAAGGGAGGAACAGAGGGAGAGAGGGAGGGACGGAGGACAGGAAGTAAAATTCCAGTGCTTATTTATGGCATTACCCACAGCTGATCCTGCCCTACAAAGAAATTCTGTATTCCTTATTCCCTCTTTCCCTCAGGAACTCAAGCTTCTGCATCCTCCAAATGACATGTCAAAAGGGGTAGGAAAAGGGTTCCAAAGGTGTAAAGAATATTCTATTTCTTAAGGTGTTGGCACTGACACAGACATGCATTTTATTATCACTGTCTATATGAAATATTTGATAATAAAAAGCAGAAAAAATAGATGAAAATCATAAACAAGCCATAGTAAGCCACTACCTGTCAAGGACTAGGAGTCATTCTTGCTCTGAGAAGGAAAGGGGGTTTCTTTCATTCTAGGGCCCAAAGAACACGCTAGGCTTGGGGAAAGGGTGTGTGGCCCAGCACAGTTCTAGCACCCATCTCTAAGGCTCTAAGACGCTGTTAAGATCTCAGAGTGGGCAGAAGATAAAGGTAAGAAACAAGGCTGACAGAGGTTGACCTCTTGGTTCCGCCAACTTCCACTCCTTGCAATCTCGTCTCCCTCCAGATGGCAGGTGTAAGGAACAGTGGAAATGATTCTTTGCTTTCTTTGGATCTCAGTCCAGGTAGGTATCAAGTGAAGGGGCTCAAGGCATAGCATGTGAATAAGAGACTGTGATCAGAGCAGGACTTTGCAGCCACATTTTGCTACAGGCCAATATGGCTTGGGAGCAGTTCCAACTCTCCCCTGGGCCAGCTTTCTGGGGAGCCCTACACTTTCTCGTCCAAGTTGCTAGCTTATTAGTTCCTTTGTTGCAGAATTCATGTCAAGCACTACAATAGAGTCAAGTCCAAAAGGTCCTGGCCCCAGTGAAGATCTTACTCATTCTGAAGCTAATGACAGCCATTAGCTGACTATCAAAAATTCTGTACTTGTAAAAGCTTGTAACCATTGCAGCTTGTACAAACAACTTTCTTCTCTTGTTGCCTCTTTCATTTTAAGGGCTGATCATTCTAGACCAGACACCCAGCAGAGCTGCCTCTCAGCCCTTGGCCTCACTGTCCCTACGGCCCAGGCCCTCTTTGCTGTCTGGTATCAACACGAACCGCATTGGCCTGCTCTAGCCACACAACAGCAGCCCCAATGTATACTTCATCATCCTTCTCTTGGGACGCAGTTAGTGCTTCTTTGTTCCCATGCTACAATTTCTTTCTTCTGAAGTAAAAATTGAGCACTTTTCCCATTTCTTTTGTTCAAAGAAAAAAGACCAACTGGAACAATGTTCTCTCCAGACCTCCTCCTTAGCATTTTTATTCATTTCTGGCATATAATGATGATGAGTAAACTTTAATTTTTTCTGAGGTGCATGGGAATGTGCTAACCACAATTATATGAGATAGGAAGAAAAACCTAAATATTTCCAGAAACTGTGAAACAAACAAAAGAAAATCCCAAAGCAAAATTTAAAATTGATATTTTAGGAGCCAACACATGCCCACTGCTTAGCTAGCTGAAAACCTGGGTCACAGGAGACAAACACTTTAGGGTGAACAGTGCTGGCTGCCACCAGGCTGGAGGTGCTTACGCTGGTGACACCACCGCGAGGATCACTGTGTGCTCCGAGGGGTTCGTGGCCCGGATCGACCTGCAAAGACAAGGCTCCAAGTCAAACAAGGTGACCTGTGTTGTATTAAATAAACAGGGGACTTCTGCACACTGAAAGTGGCCCCAAACCAGATTTCCCTCTGGAGAAAATGTCTGAGAACACATAAAAAACAGCAAAAAAGATGTCCTTGTGGATTAGAACAATCTCTTCATTTTTAAAAAATTGTGTTAACTCCCAAGCAATTATCCAATAGTCAGACTGCCAATTCTCCACTTCAAAAAATGGCAAATTCCACGTATATTTTGTTTTTTGATTGAACCTCCACTCTGAAAAAAAATGGCAGTCCTATAATTCCTTAGTTATCAGTTTGTACCTGGGGAAGCTAATTATGTTGGATCTTTTTCCTTTTAAAATAATAGTTCGGAAAGCTGACTTTATAATAAAATTTATAGCACTTGCTGGAAGATGGATGTACAAATGAAGGTTAAAGCCTATAAAAGATGGTTCAAAGAGTTGCCAAAAATTTTCAGCTGTTCTCTTGTTTGTGCTTCAATACTTCAAGCAACTTGGTCATCAGCTGGAGTGAGAGATGTTGCAATATCGTAACTATCATTATAGAATGATACTTGTTGAAATAAGACCACCTGTGTTTATTTACTCCCTAAAAATTTAACAGGATCAAAATGCATAAAGGATACAGAATTCTGAGGCCGGTGACTCTTAGTAGATGTGCTCTGCTGAAGCTCAGGGTTTGGGCTGTTCTGGTCAGGGGATCATGACTTAGAGGATCTTTTTATAAAGGGCCACATTCTTGAATCAGTGCAAAGCAGCATGCTTGTTTTGACCTGTGCCCTTGGTCTGGTCTCTGTGTATCTTGAGATTTCTCAGAAAAAAACCATCGCCAGAAGCTACACCCAAATGATTCGTGAAACAACATGTACTTGTTTCTCCCTAGCTCTAGGAATTTCTGCTCCTCTCCGCCTTAGTGTATTTGTGCTATCCATGCCCCACCACTGCCACCACCACAGCAGCTCCTGTTGCTTCGACCTCTTCAATTCCAAAATTCCCTGGCCTTTCTCAAAGTATCTTGTACACTCGTTTTATCCTTAGGAACCTACTGGATACCCAGCAAAGTACCAGTGCACATCAAATGAAAGACACACACAGTGACTTGGGCACACTCTAGGGAAGCACTGCGCATTCCTCACCATCCCTGGCCTCTCCCACTCCAGGGAAATGGTGTAGGCACTTCGAGGGTCACACCTTGCCCTTAGGCAAGGGGCTAAACCACATAATTAACAGGAGTGGGCTGAAGCACATCCTCTCTTGGCTTCCACCTTTTAGGTTTCTTCCTACTGCTCAGCTCCTCTCTCTCTCTCACCACTCCAAAGGCGCTTGAGGTAAGAGAGACCTGGACCTCATCCTGGGTAAGAGGACTAAAGCAGACCTGGCAGGGGGCAGGGATGCTAGAGTTCAAGCATGTTTGCCAGGCCAAGGTCCAGTCCAGCTCCAAGTCAGGGTTCTAGGGTCACAGACTAGTAAAGGATGCCTGTCTGCCAGGAGCGTGCCCCCACTTGTCTCCCTAGGGAACATTTGCTGTGGAGCATTCAGGAATTCGGCACCCTCACTATGAGCAGCAACAGTCACCAAATGCCCAATCAGGTACGGACATCTGGCTCCTGAACCTAATGTTTACCCATTGTTTACCCATGGGCTATGAAAGAGGCACACTGGTTAGATAACAAAACCGTCTCTTTCCATTCAAGGAAAAATGTAAAGCTTGGTTACTAAATAAGACCTTGGCTTGAATTATCTCTTCTTATACTTTTTCCTGTTCAATGGAAGTGTGTCTTAAATCATTCTACATATGACTAAGGACTGTAGTATTTCTACTATAAAATCATGTAAGAAAAGCAAATGAAGGCCAGGAAAAAGCTAATACAATACTTAGAAAATATACTTAATAGTAAAATAGCATCCAAATATTTTATATGTATATATATTATTTCAAAGAAGAAAATATTTCTACTCAGAAAGATAAGATTTGAAACCATTAAAAGTAGTTAAGAAAATTCTCCTTTGAGAAAATGAGACTGTCAATGAGCAGCAAGGCACTGCTTGAAACTTCTCTTAATCCATTAATTCCTTTTCTGTACCAAAATTTCTAAGAAGCCATTTCTCACCTTTCTTTTCACTTACTAATATTCAAGACAATTCCAGCTTCGTATGTAACTGGACTCTGTCCTGGTCTAGCATTTCATTAGTGAATTCTTCCTGCCTAGCTTCAAAGCTTTCCACTTCTCCTAAATGGCTCAGTGCACCCCAAGCTACCTTCTATGGCTGTGCATTTATTTACAAACAGGCATGTGTTTGCTCCCCAGAGTGCAGCATTTCAGTGAGCTCAGGGGGCACAGGCCCCTTGAAGACTCACTGCTGCTGCAAAGTGGCCGCCTTCCCTCTCTTTCTGGGAAGCCCGCTTCAGGATTGGCCCATCTGTGTCAGGCATAGAAAATCACACATTTCACACATTTCTGATGTTCATTTTGGGACAGAATAACGAAGCTTAAAATATCTTCTTAAGATCCAAACTATATCTGTGTAATGAGAACTGTATGAATTTTGGTATTTTTTATGAACAATCCTTGGGGTAGAAAGAGGAGTAAGCTGTAGTTTTTACGGAGGCCCAGCTCAGACCTTGGAATTCAGCACGACTCAAATGTGGAGACATAGGAAGGTGAGATGAGTGCACAAGGAGGAACTACAGCTTTTGTCACAGAGCCCTGGGTATGCCGCTTAGTGAGGTTGACATAGGTTACAGAAATATTTGGGATGGAACCAAAGATATCTATAAATGAAGCTCATTTTGAGCTATTCAGTGGGCAAAAACACTTTAAAGGAACAAGGTACCTGCACACTGCTTCTGCATTGAAGTTCCGAGACTGCCTGTGATCAATGACAATAATTTCATGATGCTTATCTAGAAAGCATTCGAGGGCTGATTCTGGAGTCCGAGCAATGTTGCATCTGTAACCAGCTCTGTCGCAGGCCCACCAGAATCCATCACTCTGACTATCTTCCTTTGCAAAGATTAGCAAAACCTGAAACACAGAGAAGAGAGCATCTTGGCAGAAGTCATAGTCCTCAGAGGCTGCATCACAAAGAGGCCTGCGATATACTGGATAGATATGGGGCTCTGAACCAGGTGTGGTAGTAGATATTATAATTCCTGCACTGTGGGAGGCTGAGGCAGGAGGACTGCAAGTCTTAGCCCAGGCTGGGCAACTGAGCAATTCAGTGAGACCCTGTCTCAAGAAATAAAGAATGGGCTAGGGATGTAACTCTATGTGAAGACCTTGAGTTCAACCCCGAGAGCCACAAACACACACACATGAAACTTTACTTGGAAGCTACCTGGTTCGACTGGTTTCAGGGGCTTTTAAACAAGTTATTCCATCTCCATGGCCTACAGTCTTGGCTGTGAGATATGATCAGAACAGCAACTCACAAGCTACTGTAAGAATTGAGTGATTAGATACAGACACAGTCACTCTGGAGGGGATTCTGCTTGCTGCAACTTCCAGTATTTTTAATTTCCTAATTAGCTTTATATTCAAATAAGACAAGCAGTGAAATTATTAACAGCATAATCAATGCAGGTAAAGTGATGATTTGCAGCACCATCTATTTGGCTCCACAGCCCATGGCATTTGCCTCCAAGTCTGAGGCTCTCTCCAGACACGGCACTCTGAAATACCTATGAAGTAAGAGGAACACAAGGAAGTTCAAAACAACTTCAGAAACTCGTTCAAACACTCAACCCTCGCCAAAGTATGAAAAGAATGATCATGTGGCATGAAGCTGATAGAAGTAAAATGGGGAAAGTTTGCCTCTATTTGCTCACTGAAAAGCCCCACAGATGGAATAGAAGGAAGCGATGCTTGCAGTTTTCCCCTGGGCTCGGGAACCCAGATTCCATGCCAGCCAGAAAGCCAGTGACAACCTCACCACCACCTAACCCACTCATTTATTTATGGTCTGCCTCCCACGATGGAAAATGAAGCTTCAGGAGAGCAGAGACATGCAGCCTTGTTGCCTGCTGCCCACCACCCCCATACCCAGCCCCAGCCTGGCCCTCAGGAGCTGCTCAGTAAATATTTGATGGCTAACTCCTTGCAGAATTTTTTTCAGAAATACAAGAGGCTTTACTATTTTTTTTGTTTGTTTTTGAGACAGGGTTGTTGATGAACAAAATAAAGACTCCTTGATTGTCATAGTGGAGGGAAAAGGAGATTATGTGGAATGTTAATAAATGATAAGTGCTACACAAAATGCACTAGAGCCGAGTGACAGGAGCAGGCAGAGGTGGGTGTTGGCAGAGGTGTGGACGAGGCAGTCAGAAAAGGAGTGCAAGTCTAAAGGAGAAGCCGTCCAGGAAGAGCTCCAGCACACAACTGTGTCTGAGGTGTTCCAGGGACCACAAGGGAGCCTGTGTGGTGGAGGGAAGGGGAGAGGGGGGAGGCCAAGTTCACAGCCAAGGGCTAGGTCGTAGTTAGACACAAACATTTACAAAGATGAAGTTGCATTAATTATGCTGTTTTATTTCTGTGTTCCTGAGGCTTTGACATCTGGGCCTTACTGACAGCCTCTCCCAGGAGTAAACAATTCCTAGAGCCAGAAGACCGCTCTCCTGGACTCAGCTTTCCAGTGCAGACCAATCCAGAGCCCACGCCCCAAACACCCCTCACAAGATTCCTGGACGCTGTGCCCTTGCCCTGACCACTCAGGGCCAGGAACCAGATAATTTGGAACAACCTCTATCACCCAGACCTCCTGAAACATCCAAATGAGCCAATCCTAAGCCTGTCTGCACACACCATCCCACAGACACCACAGCAAAGCCCTGTCCTTGTTCTCCAGTCCCTCGGCCCCTGACTGACCTCGGTGCTATCCTGGACAGCCCTGTGTGATGTGGCATGGCTCCTCCTCTCGAACAATTTTTCCAATGGCAATTGTCCCTTGATCTGTTGGCCTTACTATCCCTGAATAATAATAAAGTCCACATTTTAAAACAGGACTATCTATAATATAAAGACACGTACTAGAGAATTTCTTTAAAATTTAAAATTCTTATTTAAATTAAATTTTAATTATTTAAAATTCTTTCCATTTAAAAAACATTGATTTAGAGAAACTTCTTTTTAATTATTCAAGTCGTCAGCAAAGTGAAAAATCTATAGGGAGAAAATATATACATATTAGAGTAAAACACTGGTAGTCACCGTTATTAATGTTTGCCTGGCTCTGGAAAATCATATTTTCTGCAGGAAAGGTGGGATAGGATCCAACCAACCGAGAACAGACTCTGTCTCCGTCTCCCAGATCATAGCTGAGCTAATGATATAGTTCCTGGAAATTTGGAAACTGAGTAGAGGGACCCAGAGGCTGAGGGTTAGAACCCATGGCCCATTAGCAAGAGAGCTATTAATGGAAGAATCTTAAATTCCCATTGTCAAGGTGTTCAGAGGTGACCCATTCCGACCATTCCCAAGCCATGGCTTTTCCTTGGACTCTTCCTTGGATTCTACAAAGAAATCTTGTACTGTCTATTTCTTATCCATTTATTTACATTTTTGTGTAAAGAAGCTGTTACTTACCACCAACACCTAAAAACCATAAAAACCATGCAGTCCCTCTTCAGCTTTAACATTTCACCTATCAATATTTAGTTTCATTGTTAGACTTAGCCATTCATTAATATTTACTGACCATTCACTAATGCAAGTCTCATAACATGATTTTACAAAATATTTCCAAAACCTCATCATTAAACTCATCATTAAAGGCATAGCTGAACTTGATTTGTAAAAAGGAAAAGCAAACTGACCCCTGTGCTTGCTCCAAATAATATGTTCAACATTCATTCAAAAATATTTATTGATGATGTATTATACAAGAGGTTAAGAACTGGGACTAAAAAGAAGACAGAGGCAGCCAGGGGCCAGAGGCCAGTTTCTGTCCCTCAGACTGCAGCAGGAAGTTGGGGAAGCGAACAGTTACAGTCAATGCACTACAAGTGGTCACCACAGACTGATGGAGTGTGGCTAGGAATCTAGGCACAAGGGGGAGGAGGCAATTTGTCTGCAGTGATCTGACTGCACAGTTGTAAACCCAGCAAAAGAGTAGAAGATAAAGAACAGATCTGGGCAGAAGCCTGAAGCAATAAGGAAACATTTTCTTCTGGAGCAGACCTTGGCCTACTTGGGTTCCATCCAGGGTCAGGACACAACTGTTGGCAGCCTCCCTTTGCATGACAGAACCAGATCAAAAAACTGATCAGGGACAGCATTATCTACAAACAAGGTAAAATTATGATTGTCCTGTGACATTTTAAGATTTCTGTCAAATCACTGTAACCCCTTTTATTGTTGGTTATTTATGTACAGACAAACGAAATGTAAAACAAGTATTTATTCAGCACCATGTAAAACATTCTCACAACTAAGATTTCACTGCTTTTCCATAAGGTTATCAAGAATAATTTGAACGGTGGTTGCCACCCTCTTCCAGCTGTATAAATTAGAATAAGAAGGAGGCATCTTTTCTCTACCTTGGTGAGTTGTCATTCTCCTTGGCTTGGATCTTCTTGCCTTCTTTGCCTCCAGAGGCACCATCCCTGAGCTCCTTTAATGAGTGTGACAGGTTTTGCTGGCCTCATTTCCTCTGGGACACCTTTATGCTTCTCACCACAACAGCATTCTCACTTAGGATGATAAGCCTGACTTTCGCTGGTTCCAAGCCCTGAATCTCAGAGGCTGTCATGCCATCAGCAGTCCCCACAGCCTGCCGGCTCTCCTCTTACTCCATGTATGTTTGATTCCAGTTCACTTATGGTACCATATCTTTTCATTCCTTTGTTGCACCTTTGGTCTCTGTTAGCTCACTCCCTTTCTCAGTGATCTATCTTTGCATACAGTCATGTGGTTTATCACTGGGAGTCAGGAAGCAGCACAACTACACAATTCGCTGCCTGAGTTTAAGCTAAGTATCAGACAGGCAGGATCAAATGCAGAGCCTCTGAAAAAAATGGCATGGAAGGTCACTGACCATGCTGCATATCTGTTGCTTATATAGTGATCTGTAAGAGTGAGAGCAAAGTTTGTACTCTACACATTATTTACAGTTAATACATAAAATAACTGCAATCTGAAACACATTTTGGGGGGCTTAGTATTATCTATTTCATGAAATTTGTGCACTTCATACCTGTGCAAAAGTATTTGCACTGCTTTTCAAATATAACTTTAAAGACCTCAAACTGCCAGGCAGAGCCTCTCTCTATTTCTAAGAAAACTTTGCCTACATCTTCCAGGAACCACAAAGTTTAATTCACCTTTCAACACAAGCTAGAATGAGTCTAAGGGCTGACCCAAGGCTGGGCGACAGAATAAGAAGCGTGGGCCTGCATGCGATGGCAGTGCCAGAACCAGAGTCTGTGACTCTCAGACACTGCCAGAGAATCATCCATGGGACACCCCACACAGATGAGCACAGTGACTCCTGGGCAAAGCAGTGGCAGAGTTAGGGAATGCATCTCCCCTTTCCTCCTCCAGGTATCTTTTTCAGCTCCAGCCCATGTCACATTTTTCTGCTGGAAATTCTTCCAACCATTTCTTTTGCAAGTTTTATCAAGAAAAAGCTGAGAACTACCTTTCTGAGGATAGCAATAATCTTCCTAGACAGCTGTATTAGTCAGCTTTCCTGTCACTGGCACAAAATGTTCCACACCCGAAACTTCCCAGTGAAGGCAGAGAGGTCTATTTGACTCATGGCTTGGGGAATTCAGTCCATGGTTGGCTGGCTCCAAGGCAGAAGTGTCACAGTGGAAGGGAACTTTGGAGGAAAGCTGTTCAACCCATGGTGGCCAGGGAGCAGAGAGAGAGAGAGGGAGGAGTTGGGGACAAGAATACAACCTTCCAGATCACGCCCACAGTGACCTTCTTCTTCCAACCAGGCCCTACCTGTGACCAGCACAGTCAACTGTGAACTGGTCAATGGACTCATCACTGATCCCCATTTCCAGAAGCCCTACCTCTGAACA